CCCCCCCCCCCCACCCACACACACGACTCTCCTAATAAATAGATTGGGATCTCTGGAATTTTTATACGCACACATTTTGAAAGTTCAGGTCAACCATTATCAGCACGGTGGTATAAGAAGGAGACAGGAGAACGGGGAATGACGAGGAAATAAGAACGAGCAGAAGAATGACTTTGGAGTGGGCATCAATCAGTGTCAGCATTTGTATGTTCAATCTTTTCCTTGTAAATAATATATTTAAAACTCTTTTCACTTTGTACAGTAAACAGACAGACAGGATGTAACTTTCAAAATGTTTTACAGCAATTTAAGAAATAAACAAAACAATAATAAAAACTCATAAAAACTAAAAAAACACATGAACAAAAATATGCAAAATATAGTTAAGACACAAATATTACTAATCATAAGTGATATAATTGAACCTCTTTTTCTTTAAATCTCATGTTTACTTAATTATGATAGTTTACCAATCAGTATACTGATTATGTTAAGAATTATGCTTTTTCATATTTTCACTAAAGTGTTGGAAATCGAGGATAATTTACTGTAGGTGTAGACGTTTGGTGATTAAAGGGGAAAGTTTAGTTTTAGGAGTCTTTGCTAAGTTTCCCTTGAATTGTGTTAGATTCTCTCTTTTTAAGGTAAGCTCTTCTTCATGCTTTTTGAGATAAATTAAATTATCTACACATTTATGTAATACAATATTACATGTATACATAGATGATATTTGCATATAGAGGCAGTATATTGTGATCCTTCATTTTTAAGCAGCAATCCTTGTTAAAAACTTACAAGATATTTGTGTTTTTGTTGCCCGTTTTTTTGACCTGGGCTCTAATGGTGATTGCACACAGAATTTAGAGCCATCGTTGGCCCCGGCCTATCCTGTTCCCGCTCTGTGTTTGGGATAGACATCACTGTGGTAAAGGAAGATATATATATATATATGATATATATGTACACACACAAATCTGCGCTGGACATTTCTCAGTGTTGATGTTTTGTTAATATTGCTGAGGATTTCTGCACAAACTAGTGGAAAACCAAGAACGAGTGTAGTTTCATCTAATTGAGAATCCATTTGAAGCTGAAATGCATTTGTGCAACCCCTTATTAAAAGGTGCAACAATTCTTCTGTCATGTCTCATTTTATGTTGAGTTTTGCTTCAGGGGAATCAGCCGTTGCTATATTTTAGCTCACATATTACTAAACCGCGTTATTTGACAGCTGAAAACACTTAAATGCTTTGGATTCTAATTTATTTAGTTATTTATTTATTTATTTTGCTTGTTTCTTCGTATGAGACAGGAAATATAATTTGTAATTTGTTGTGTACATATGCAGTTCTGTCCCCATGCAGTCAGAAATTATTTCCCCCGCTCTTCTTCTGTATGGTACTGATTCCAATAAGTCTCTAAAATCTTCTCCCCAGCCCTGAGAGAAGAAATTCATCTCTCTTCTGTTTTTCTCCTCAACTGCTTTCATGTCTACTGGATTGATTGAAAAGTGAAAAATGTATCCGTGTGCACGTAAACTCCGTTAGGTTTGCATATTTTTCTTACAAGCCACCAGGTTGTTGTTTTTTTTTTTCCTTATTTGCAATAAACAGCATGACCAAACAGAAAATGCTCTTACTGTACACTGTATGTGCCAATACATCAGTTCCTGTTGTTTTTTCATGCATTGGAAGGTGAGCTATAAGGCCGGTTTACAGCTGCTGGTTGTGAAGTCAAGGTCCACTGTGGTAAACATGCTATCATCAGGCTTTTACCACCTCCAGCTGCTCTGCTCTGCAGCCAGCGTGTGCAGGTCGGGCAGTGATGCAGAGTAAGCATGGCTCGTCAGAAGTCTTTATTTCCCTTACGGCCAAATTGGTCCCAGCCTCACTTCTCTGCACACGAGCATGCCACAACACATTTGGTCAAATGCTTAATGTAGAGCAAAACACTGTGTCACATTTTTTACAACACAAGAAAAAATGGCTGTGGCAAGTTAGCGCGCCGGAACATCCTGAAGGTGGAGGATGTAAATATCACCTCAGCTGACGTGTGTTTTTCTGTCAGGAATACTGACACATGGGACCAAATAACAGCATGACGTGGTCAGCTACAGGGATCAATGCACCTGTTAAACTGACTTGTGAAAATGTCATTTTTGCATTTTGTTTTGTTTTGTTTTGGAGGGAAGATGTTTGTTTCACATCAATGTCTCTAACATATTAAGTTGAACTGCTTAATCACGCTGTTTTTTTCAATGAGTCATGCAGATAGGAAGAATTATACTGTGATATTATATGATTGATTTGTTGTGATGGTCCATGTAATTTAGCTGCTTATAATTTCCCAATTCACCCTGATTCATTGCAGAACTTGTTTACTAATATTTCAAAGTTCTCTCTGTGTGCGTGTATTACTATGTATTGATATTGCTTTATATTGATGCATACAAACTTTTCTATTAAATTGTGTACAGTTTTGTTTGTTTGTTAATATTGCTATTTTTCATCTCCATCATTCATATTTGAGAATGGTTTGCTTTACCTGAATGAAAAATGATGACAACATGACATAAGGGGTTGCTACTAAATGTATTTCACAAGGTGAACAGGTTGATGAAAACACATCGTCACTGATTAAATTTACTGTGGGTTGACAAAAATGTAACATATGAATAGCATCAATTGTATACATAATGATATACATAATATTATTCTTGGCCATTCTTTTCTCTTTTTGTGGCCCTTTTCTTTGAAATAATCCCCAAATTTTTACACCATACGAACAGAAAACGACACAAAAACAAATAATTGTACAGGTTGTGTAAATACTGAATATTGGGGGAAAAACATTTACCTTCTTTTTTTTGTATGGAAACAATCAAAGTAATCTCAATAACAAAATTAACCACGTCATGACAAAATTGCAAAAAAACATCATTAAGGTACTTCTAATAAGGATAATACTGATATCTACAATTATAAGTGCTCAAATAAGACTATTCTTTCTCTTTGTACATGATGAACAAAATGAAGTGTTGAGTATTAATAATAAAAAACTCTAAGTTTCACGCATATGGCACTGAGTCTTTTTAAGCTTTTTTGTGTTTACCTCTCAATTTTGAAACTTCATTTCCTTTCAAACTAACTCTTCTGCACCCCCCTTGATTTTTGATATTTGGCTGGTGTATTTATGTGCCTGAGAACTTCCCGATTTTTACATCTCTTGTGCATGGCTCTCAGATGTCCCCGCCTCTGACTGAGTCTGTCTGCCCACTGTAGTGGACACACTGTCTGGCTCTCTACCTCCTGCCTTTACTCTCTCTCTCTCTCTCTCTCTTGCTCTCCTGTCACAGGCCTTCATTCATTGTCATTCTTCTCGATACATGATCTTTCTTGTCCGCACACAAGCTGTTCTCTCTCTCTCTCTCTCTCTTTCTCTTTCCTCTTTCTCTCTCTCTCTCTCTGTCTCTCTCTCTCTCCATGACTGGCAGGATTCTGGAGAAGGAGAGGCCTGCCTGAGAAAGGAGGGCCATATGGTGACTGTATGGTGGAGTGGTTTGGGTTGGGTCTGTCCTCAAAACCCACACTGCTGCTGGCACTTCGCAAAGCCTTCGAGTCCTGATGCCGTCCCAGCCCCCTCGGGGTTTTCTCGGCTGCTCATTCGGCTGGTCCCCCCCCCCCCCACCCCCCCCACATACACACACACAGTACAGTACAGTAGACCTGCCCAGGACAATTTAAAGATTTAAAAAGACGTTCAAACTGAACTGACACCCATTTCAGTTCACCTTTAAAACAGCACAAAATGGTCTATTACACTATAATGTGTTTTTTTTTTTAACTTTATTTATCCAGGAGAGTTCAACATTGAGATTGAGGTTGTCGTTCACAATGCATAATAATTATCTGAGGTCAGGGAAGCGGGACAGATTGGAAAATCTGGATGATGAAAGTAAATGAAGAAAACCCACCCCTGTCTCAGCAATTGCCATCAAACTGACATTGAGAAGGGCATTTATCTTCCAGCAGTCTCCCAATTCTTTTGCGTTGCCAATAGTATAATATTGTGCTTGTACCGAGCAGGTCCCCTGTGCAAATGTATTTAAATGTATGAATAATAAGTAGGGCATTCTGTAAAGGACGATACAGGCAAAACATCCCAGAGAAAATCAAAGCTAATATCATGTGCATTTAGCTTGGCTACTACTTCAGATAAATAAGCTCTTTTTCAGCAGTATGTCATCTCTTCTAAGTTGTACTCACAAACACCAGCTTCTGGCCGAGTTTATATTGCTTCATGAAGATGGAAATCGGATTCAATATCATATTGAAAATGTGTGTATTTAGTGTTCTCATGATGTTTTGACCTCTCACATTACAAAAAACTCAAAAAATACTGTTTAGTTTTTTCGCTGTTATACCGAGCTAGGCTGTGTAGTCTGTAAATTGTACATTTTGACATTTTAACATTTTAACAAGCAGATCCAGACTGGCTTAAAGATGCATTTGGTTTTTTTACTGCCCCACAGCACAAAATGACCATGATATCTACAGTTTGATAGGGTTGTTGATCAATACCAAGGACTTAGCTGGACAAAGATGCAGGATGGGTGCTATGTGTGTAAACCAGCACTACAAACACAGTTAGTGCTCATTCCTAGTTTACCTAGGACTCTGGGAAAATACCTAACTCCTACATGTGCTCTTCCAGGGTCCTATGTTCCCAAGGTTAGGGTTGGTTGGTTTGGTAACATAGGACCCTGGGTACATAGGACCTTGGGCACTTAAGACCTTGGGAACATAGATAAGCTCCTGTTAATTTGCATAGTGATACATCATCT